CATCCCTTATTTATAATTGGTTTGGTGGCGGAATGTCATCACTCCTTTGAGTTCGAATCCTCTAGGAGAGTAAAACTTAATATTCCATTGCAAGTGAAGGAAAACTTTGTGTTAACACTAGATAACGGGCAACCGTCGTAACAGTAAGACCTGTGCATAGTGCTTATTTTATCTTGGTGAGAGAGTATCCTTGAGGCGTTATTATATTGCGGCAGCGTAAATTTTCGCCAAAGAAAAAATATAAATAATTGCTACCCCTAAAGCAGCTTAGTAACATTAAATGATAACAAATAGGTAGGTCTGTGCAATTTTTTTATCATAAATTAGTTGCAGTATTGGTAATGGAGAAAAAAACTGCCGAGTATCCAGGGCCGAAAGAATATTAATAAAAAAGTAAAAATAACCAAACTGACAGTAAAATAACATCTTGACAATAATGATATAATTCCAGACAAATTATCATATTGAAGACTAGGCAGCATGATCTCTGACGCCTTAGCCTGTTCCACAACGGAACAAATGTACTAAAAAAAATAATAATGATATATGATTGACAGCAGAATGACACTTTGAAGTTCAGGCACTCTGACACTGACATTATTAGTAACCTCAAACTCTGTTTTCGACATATAATATTTTCATAAATAAACAAGACGATTATAATTAACAAATTTATATTTAAATAAGTCTTTATCGATTTATTACCAAGTGGAAATATATAAATCAAGTGCCAAACACAATGGCGGTGTACGCAGCGCATTTAACGCGCACTTTGCAAGGTACTCCTTCAATATTTCAAGTAACTGCCCAAGAGGCCCTGGGAACTACAGTTAAACCAGCTTTAAGGAAGCTAATAGAGGTAATATAGTAAAGACAAGAATGATATCTGAATATTAAATTCTATTTTATAGTTTTTTCATAATCTGATTAGCGATAGTTCGTAGTTCATGTTTATGATTAGCAAGAGTTCAAAGACCGGTTGTAATTTTGATTGTTTGAAGATAACATCCTAAATAACCATTCTTTGTTATTGTTATGCATCTGTTATATTTATATTGTGGCTTAACATGATTACCATATACCATATATATAGGGTTACCATTCCATCATCACCCATTAATAAATAGTCTAACTTAGGGATGATAAATCATATTACGCCATGATATAAATATAACAGATTGTAACATATATATAATGTTACAATTAAATTTAACACTCATTTTAACCCATTAAAAATATGATGTACAAGAGTTAAAGTTAATTAACTATATTGTGGACACAGGTGGCTCAAGACATTTCTTTTTTTTTTTTTTTTTTTTTTTTTTTTTTTCTTCTACTAGCAACACCAACGACAGTTGTCATTTTCAGCTGGCCGCTAATAAATAAATAATTTTTAATAGTCTATCACACGAATATTATATTTTCGACATCGTTATTAGTGATATAATAGTGCAATAAGTGTCGATTGTTGTTTGTGTCAATTTGGTAGTGTATTATTTGCAAAAATCGACATTAAAATAGTGCAACCGCCATCTGTCAAACTTCTTTCGTTGGTAAACAACTAATTTTAAAACTATTTTATAACTATTTGTTGGACTTATTCAAAGAATTTCATAATATATACAAGTTTTATAGAAAATATTCACATCAAGTTAAATTGATATTAATAATTGTGAAGTTCAGTTGTTGCGTACGTCGAAGGAAAAATATACCCACAAAAAATATATTGTAAGTAATTTTATGTTTTATATTAATGTAATTTGAAGGAAAGGAGCACAATCTAATTCCATTTACTTAATCTTGTAAAATATAGGTCGTATAAATATACCTAACAAAATTATTCAAAATTTTAACACATAAAATAAGTAAGGTTCAGTTGCTGTTCTCGTTGTGATACTTTTTTTAGAAATAACTCACTTCACTCTCCCTAGTAACTATTCATATATTCAATAATGTCACTATCTACCCGTTCCACAACTGCACGGCAGACAGAGATGAAGCTTAAAGTGGCCCTACAAGAACTTCAGGCATCCAAAGATCTCAGTGACAAGTTGATCAGGGAGAGAGAAGAGAGTGAAGATGAAATTTTAAAAATTATAAATAAAAATACCCAATTAAAATCAGAATTGTCAGAACTTCATAATAGCCATCAGGAAGTTATTGAGCAGCGGGATCAGCTTCAAGAACTAATAAGTAGCTTTCATCAATGTAGTGACACTCATGAGCAAGCCTTGAGGCGTATCACTGAATTGGAACTTGAGTTAAAGCAGGCATATTCTAAAATCAATGATCTAGACACAAGATTGGAATCTCGACAAAGTAATGAGATTAGTAATTTATATGAGGAACTTATTAGTGTTGACTGTGTGCCTCCTTCTACTACAGTTCCATGCACCCATCCTGTTGTAATTGACCTTACTAGTGATACATCACCTAAATTAGGCAACTATAACAGTAATATTTGTATGTTGAGTAATAATAAATTTAAAAAATATTTAAAACTAAAAAAGTTTATAATTAAGAATCGGAATATATTAAATAAGCGTTGCAAAAAGGGACAATTATTGAAAAAAACCACTTTGAATAATTTAAAATTGCATGATTACATTAATAAGTGTAATAATAAGTTAGTGGAAAGCCAAAAGTTATATGACATTGATACAGACTACCTAACTTCAAAATCAATAGTTTAGAATCTTCGCTTCATGATTTAAATACAAAGTATATTATCTCTCAGAAACAAATCCAGGAGCATATTTTAGCAATGGATGATCTGATTGATGTCAGTAAATACAATGCTGACCGTTTTGAGTCGTTGACTAAGCATTGTACATGTAATCACACAAATATATCAAATAATAATTCAGTTGTAACTGTGCTGGAAAATGAAGTTCAGGGTGTTTGTGCCAGTGACTGTAACCCTAAGAGTAGCACAATGGTGTTCTCTGACAGAATAGGCTGTAACTTTGGGTCTATATTGAAGTATCATCTTAAGGGTGATTTATTAAACTACTGCATGCCAGAAGCATCATTTACACAAATAATAAATAAAATTAAGTCTACGAAAATGAACAATATGACCACAATTGTGTTATTTTTTGGTAATAGTATTCAATTAAATAGGCAGGATGTAATTAAAGGAATTGAATATTTATTACAATTAAATGTGTATAAGATTGTATTGTGCGCTTTTCCTTACACAAATAGACATCTTCATAAAAAAATTAACAGTAAGGTACATTACCTGAATAACTTATTACATACATTGACATGTCGTCATAGTGACATTTTGACATTTTTTGATACTAATAGTTTTATTAGTGATTTTTATTTGACAAAAGATACAATGTATCTTTCTAAATCATCTAAAAATAAAATAGCCACTTTAGTGGCTTATAATATTGACTACATGAACAGTTTACATGGTAAACTTAAACATAAAAATGCTGACATAACAGATAATTCTATTAATATTTGTGACATAAGTACTATGACTGCAGATTTAAACTGCTCACAAAGACAAAGGGAAAGCAATCAGAATTAATAATTGTTCATCAGAACATACAAAGTTTTCCCGGCAGCGAGTTAATCATACAATTATTTTTAGAAAAGTATAATATTGATATTGTCTGTTTCACAGAACACTGGCTTAAAGAAAGCAATATGATGTTCAATTTAAATAATTATAACGTTGTCAGCTGCTTCAATAGAAAGTCAGTTAACAGAGGCGGGTCTATGATAATTGCAAGAAATAATATTAAAGTAAAGGAACGTGCTGACATTGTTAGACTTTCTATTGAGTGTTGTATAGAATTATCTTGTATAGAACTAGAAAATTATATCCTTATATGTGTGTACAGGCCTCCTAATAGTGATTACAATGTTTTTGAAGGGGTGATGGAGGATATTTTAAAAAAAGTATTTAATAGTATTAAAAAAATTATTGTATGTGGAGATTTTAACGTTGATATTCTTTGTAACACACCCACATGTACAAAAATTATTAGTTTATTTCAGTCATTTGATTTATGTCATGTCTTTCATGAACCCACTCGTGTAACTGCCACGTCTGCTACTTGTCTTGACAATGTTTTTGTAACTGCGAGTATACAGAAAAATTCATAATAAATAAACTTCCTTCAGATCACTGTGGTCAAGTTGTTAAGTTTAGCAGTCAAATCAATAAAGTCAACAATAATAAAAAATCAAAAAGACAAATAAACGTTTACAATATTAATAAATACAACAGCGCGATTAAAAATAAATTGGATTTGCTGTTACAATCTAGTAATAATCCTGATTATCTTTACACCAAGCTAATTAATATTTTATCCGGAGAATATGAACAATTTTTCAAGAAAAAAGAAGTTCATGTTAAATCTAAATTCACGGAATGGGCAACAGTAGGAATACTTAAAAGTAGAAATATTTTGTTTGATTAATACGATCAAAAAAATATCGATTTGATGACAAATTCACCACTTATGTAAAAAATTATTCTAAAATTTTTAAAAAAGTTTGTATTATGGCTAAGTCTAATTATTTTAATAAACAAATTAAGCAGTCTTCTGACAAAATTAAAACCATCTGGAGCATTATAAATAAAGAAACTGGAAGATCTAAAATAGCCTGTAATCAATTTACATTAAATTATGATAATAAATTAATAACAACAACAAAAGATGTAGTTAATATTTTTGAAGATTTTTTTGCTAATATTCCGATTGATATTACATCTTCTCTGGACTCATCTCAATCTCGAGCAAAAAAATTACTAGAGACTAATATCGGTTGTTGTTCTTTAAGATTTAAATTTTCACATGTTAGCCCCTTTCATATCATAAAAATATTCAAACAGCTAAATTTAAAAATACGGAAGACCTTTGGGGCATGTCTGTAAAAGTAGTTAGTTCTTTCATAGATATTGTTGCTCCATATCTAGCCACTATTTTTAATAAATGTATTGATAATGGCGTTTTTCCACATTTAATGAAATTTAGCAAATTAATCCCACTATTTAAATCAGGAGATAAATTTGAGCCAGGGAACTATAGACCTATATCTATTTTGCCAGTTCTAAGTAAGGTGTTTGAAAAGATAATGTTAAATCAAATGTTACATCACTTCAGGGTTAACGGACTGCTTCACAGTCAGCAATATGGTTTCACCGCCGGCAAGTCTACCACTGACGCAGGTGTTGCGCTAATGACACATATTTTCGAATCTTGGGAGAGGTCACAGGATGCACTCGGAGTTTTTTGTGACCTATCAAAGGCATTTGATTGTGTGGATCATAAAACGCTTTTGTACAAGCTCGAACATTATGGTATAAGAGATAATGATCTAAAATTAATGAGAACTTATTTAGAGGATAGGGTTCAAACTGTAGATATTGACGGTGTAAAATCTAAGGGAGCTAATATTAAGATGGGCGTTCCACAAGGGTCAATCTTAGGCCCCTTTCTTTTTAATCTACATAAATGACCTTCCCTTTATGGTAGAGAAAATTGCAGATATAGTGCTGTTTGCGGATGATACTTCGTTAGTGTTTAAAATTGGACGTCAAAGTAATCAATTAGACGATGTAAATTGTGCTATGTCTGCAATATTAAATTGGTTTACATGTAATAACCTATTATTAAATTCCAGCAAAACAAAGTGTATAAAATTTACACTTCCTAATGTAAGACTAATAAATACACAGTTATTGCTTAATGACGAAATAGTAAATTTTGTTAATGATACAGTTTTTTTAGGTATAACAGTGGACTCGAAATTACAATGGGGGCCCCATATTTCAAAATTGGCCAGTAGACTCAGTTCTGCTGCATATGCAATTAGAAGAATTAGGCAATTAACAGACGTGGCGACGGCTAAACTTGTATATTTTAGTTATTTCCATAGCATAATGTCTTATGGCATACTGCTGTGGGGTAAAGCAGCCGATATAAATACTATATTTGTTTTACAAAAGAGAGCCATACGTTCTATTTATGGTATGGGTTCAAGAGAGTCATTACGTCAGTGCTTTAAAGACTCAAATATCCTCACAGTTACTTCACAATACATTTATGAAAATATTATGTATACACGGAAGAACTTAGCGAGTTTTAAAAAACTCAAAGACTGTACAAGTAGAAACTTACGCAATATAAATAAGCTTATTTTACCTAAATGCCGTCTGCACAAAATCAGTAATTCATTCTATGGTAATTGCATAAGATTTTATAATAAACTGCCGGAATCTGCATTAAATCTGACAGAGAGGCAATTCAAATCTTATATTAAACAATTTTTATGTAAGAAAGCCTATTACAGGATAGACGAATTCATAGATGACAACATATCAAGTAAATAATTAGTTTATTAGCATACAACGTTATAATTTTATTTTCTCATTGCTTTCTTGATTTAATTGATTAATTTTAGAAATATGAAAGCGTAGCGGTTTTTTGTATTAATTGCCGCATGCATTCTTATGTAAAATGTGAATACTATAACTATCAGATGGCAATTGTGAGTAGCTTTGACGTGGTCTAGTGTTTTGAGTAGTCATGCTCACTAAAATGTCCAGACTTGTGGCGGCGTGGTGGGCCGGGTCATTGGGCTCCCTAAAATATGGTCGAGCGCAGTGATGGCTGGCTCATCCGTCATACTCGTGAACGGGTGCTGCTTGTAGGGACTGGTCTGCTCTAATCACTATGACTGATTTCCTCTTATTAATTGTTTAACCAGTTGGTTATGTATTCAATTTTTTTTTTTTCTTTTGAGTATTTAATTGAATTAGTGCTAATTGGTGGTTTGTATTCACACAATTAAACTTAAAAATGTAAAATAATAATAAAATTATTTAAAAGAGCATCACGCAAGTTTCTTGCTCGTTCTTCTTGTGATGAGACAGCTTTCCGAACGAGCGGTAAATTAAAAAAAATGTAATGACTTTTCAAAAGTGCTTCAATGTAAGTTTATTTGAATAAATGATTTCTATTCTATTCTTATTCTATTCTTTATGGCCGTCTAAGAATGAGGCCTGTGTTCAGCATTGGACAGATAATGGCTGAGATGATGAACTATGTTAGAACTTTCAAATATCACTGTTCTCATTATGTGCATATATATAAAAATATTTTTAAAATATTACTGTTGAGTTGTTTGTAATTTTTCTATAATAAATAATTTTTTTTTTTAAACCTTTATTTGTTGGGAGGATTTAAAGTAAAAACATGGTAGCAATGGCAAGTTAACAGAGTTTTAATAGCCTTACCTACTGATAAGCTGTGAATAAATATAAAGAACTTGAAAACTAAAAGGTAACTCTATGTATTGCAGTATTTAGCTGAAGTATACCCGGACAAGTGTGGGTGGTGTGTGCCGTGGTATGATGAGTTGTACCTGCTGTTTGATTGCTGTTTGCAGTACCACTACCTCAAACACTATGGTCAGTTACCTAAATAACATAATGTTTTTTTCATTGGCAAACCAACTATTTCAATTATGATAAAATTATAAAACCAATATGGGAGGAATAATGGAGTAAACCCTTGTGCCTACATGTAATATTGCACAATGATTATAACAAGTATGGTAATAAAAGGCTTTTATCCTTTTATGGTTTTGTTATACATAGTTACAAAATATTCAGAACTATTGAATTGTAATTAGAAAGTAGTATTTATAAATAAAGTTTTGTTAACCTTAAACATAATGTAATGAAGAAATTATAAAACTTTCCAGCTGCATCATTCTCTGAGAGTTTCTACGGCCTTCTCAGAGTGCCAACAACAGTCAGCAGTGAATTCAACCCTGGTAACCTGAGGTTACCAGAAATGCTGGAGTATGGCTCTGTGGCCTTGTTGGTACTAGTGCCATATATTAAAGATAAAATGGAGAAGATTGTAGACAGATGGAGAGAGGATGATGAAGATGGGAGATTGGGGAAGGTGAGTTATCTAAAACTAAAGGTGGACTAAAGAAATAGTGACATTACAAGAGCTTATATAGAATCAGATAGGTTTAGATGAAATTATTATATTTATTACTAGATATTTCATGAAATTTGAAAATTTTACATTATGAAGTGACAAGGTTTTTTTATGGCAGCAGTCAATTATTGTTATGTGCCAAACACAAATGGAAGAAATATAGGTTCTCTCAGAAAATCCAACTTCTGTATTTATAAAAAGTTAGCTATAACTTTTTTTCAATTTAAGAATTTAACATAAAAGATACAGACCTAACAATGATTAGATGTTTGTCATTTTTATGCAATACAATCTAAATTTTCTAATCAGACCATTTTCAAATTATTTCCTAAATGACATTAGATCGTCTTGTTTGCAAAGTTTATAAAATTTTTGCATCATTGTTTTCCTATCTTTAATTTTTCCTAAATATATATAAAGTCCTAGCATGCAAACGCAGGTGTTTAATAGTGGAAATAAAAGAGGTACATGTTAAGTTCTGAAGTGAATAAAAACTTATTTGTAGAGTAAACCAGACCGCGCCCGCAAGGCAGCTATCAAAATATACGCGATAGTCCACTTGGTCGCGAAGTCGGCGCGGCTGGTGCAGGCCGCCAGGTACATGACGGGCGCCACCCGGAGCCACTGCCCCGAGCTGGCGCTGCTCGGCGTGTCGCTGCGGGACGCGCCGCTCTTACACAGGGACACCTACACCTGGACGGGGTTCTTCAAGAACCTGCTCACGGGACAATTTAGGTAAGACGATGGTTTATTCGAAAAGGGAACAGTGAAAAATTTTGCAGGTAAATAATACTTACATACCTGCTTCTTCCGACGTTTCGACCTGAAGATACTGCGCGAGCTGCCAGACGAAGATGTCGGTCACTTCAGTTCTATCGTGACCACGACATAAAGCAATCCACGTCGAAATGCCGGCAATATACGGGCAAAATTTTCTTCGCACTAAATTCCGATAGTGTATTTATATATGTTTTTGAAAGTTTAAAATTAACCAAGTGAACAATGTTTTATTATATTATTACCAACTTTTACAAGTATCGTATACTTTTAAATATTGCTAGTCTAAGTTTAGGTTTTTTAATAGTTTTACATTAAAAAAAAAGTAATTTAATATGAGATGTTTATGTGAGATTTTTAGTTTTTAAGCAATTTAGAATGACAAACAAGCTGACGGTCCACCTGATAGAAAGTGGTAACCGGATGGGCTTTCCATCCAGCTTGTCATTTTATTTTGCCATTTTAAGTTGCATAAAAAAAATGACATATCACTCATAATTCACTTGCCACTCGTACATGACACATCACTCATAATTCAGTTGCCACTCCTACATGACACATCACTCATAATTCACTTGCCACTCATACATGACACATCACTCATAATTCACTTGCCACTCGTACATGACACATCACTCATAATTCACTTGACACTCGTACATGACACATCACTCATTATTCACTTGCCACTCCTACATGACACATCACTCGAAATTCTCTTGTCATTACTACATGACACATCACTCATTATTCACTTGTTACTCCTACATGACACATCACTCATAATTCACTTGCCACTCCTACATGACACATCACTCATAATTCACTTGCTACTCCTACATGACACATCACTCATTATTCACTTGACACTCGTACATGACACATAATTTTTATGTTGGAACTCTTTTTTTTTCTTGGTGAAATGTAATGGGATCTTTAGTTTCTTTTACATTATATTAGAAATTATCAGAATTACTTGATATTTTTTTTATTTATGGACCTAGAAATTGTATACAAGCATACTCGAGGGAAATATTTGCGTATATTGCAGTGCATGGGGGGTATTATGAGCGAAACAGTATACTCTGTTATGTCCATGGTACTGCTCATGTCTATAGGCGACGGTTACCGCTTTCCATCAGGTGGGCCGTCAGCTTGTTTGCCATTTTAAGTTGCATAAAAAAAATTTCATTAAATGACGTATATTTAACATTAACACTAATGTTTAGTATGCATCATGTTCCTTTTTTGGTAAAGTAAGGTATGTAATATTTTGATGGTTGTGACGTGGCGTGGCGGCGTGGTGCAGGGGCGCGGCGGTGTCGTTCCCGATGGTAGGCGGCGCAGTGCTGCGCGGCGTGCAGTACGGCGCCTTCGTGGTGCAGCTGCTGCGCTGGTGGGACGCGCGCGCCGCCTCGCACGCCGCGCTGCAGCCGCCGCCCGCGCCGCAGGTATCACACCCTCGCGTAGCTCGGGGAACTGGCAACCGATGGAGAAGAAAGGTTCTTGAGTGACGACTCCGTACGGGTAAATGCAGTAGATAGAGTGACGACCTTAAATGCATTGCAAGGAGTCCGTGAATGCAGGTGGCTCAGGATCGTTCCTTATGGTAGTCTATTAAGGAGGCCTATATTCAGCACTGGACGGATAACCTGAACCCGGTGGAGGTAAGGGATTGTTAGTAATGGGGAGGTTAGACCTCATTGCTATCAATACATTCTATCAACTCTACCTCCACGCGGTTTCCCCTGGAAACCACCGTGACTAATTTATCGTTGAGTTCGTCACGATGGGCTGACTTGTTTTTTCATCCTCACCTATCAACCCTCACTGGTACCTCGCTAGTGTATACCGATAGCGCAGGCGGGGTTACCAATCATCCATTAAAAAACCCGACCCGGTCTGGATTCGGTGAGTAACTGTAGAAGACAAAATGATGTTTGCCGGGTCGGTTAACATATCTACTATTGAACAAACGTCTATTATGGACTCCGTCAACAATTGAGCGGCTTAAATCGAATGAGACAAAGAAAGCCCTATGATCAGCAATAGGTGTGCACTTTCCTTTAGTCCTTTGAGCGTCTACGGACTTCATTTACGTCTACGGTCCAGAAGGAGACTGTATAAAAGTCGATTGCTTGGGTACCTCTGTTCTATTCGTGTTTCAACCGTGAAGCAGTTGTGTTTGCATGGCTGTGTTTCGGTTTGAAGGGTGTGATATGGCGTGAATTTACTGGGTACAGAGGAATAACACCTGAGTCCTCAGGAATGGCAACGCATGGAGGGTATCATGGGCGTAACAGTATATTCTGTTATGTCCATGGTACTGCTCATGTCTATAGGCAACGGTTACCACTTTCCATCAGGTGGACCGTCAGCTTGTTTGTCATTCTTAGTTGTATAAAAAAAAAATTAAAAAAGAGATATAATTTAATATTGTTGTTGTGTACATTGCAGCCCGATGAACGCGCCGTAAGATGGAAGAACAAGTGTCCAATATGCCTTCAGACCTGGAAGATTCCCACCGTGCTGCCAGTCTCGGGGTGAGTGAAAAATCACAAATTGTAGACAGCAGTTGAAAATTTCTTTTTTTACTATTTTAATCTGTTTTTGATGCCACTTTTTTCTATTCTGATTAGGGTATCGTCCTTTATTATCAAATTTGTAACTCTTTTTCATTACGAATTATTTTTTTCGTGTTTATTTTTTATACTATTGTGGTGACAAACAAGCCTACGGCCCACCTGATGGTAAGCAGTTACCGTAGCCTATGAACGCCTGCAATACCAAGAGCATTACGCACGTGATGCCATTCTGAAGAATGGCAACACATGCGTAGTTTATATATAGATACCCTTTATTGTTTCTTTTAAAAGATTACAATACCTTTACCTCTTTTTTTAAGAACCCTATGCATGTAGTCTCTTGGAAAAACCTCGACAGGGAGCTCAGTCCATAACTTTAACCTTCGTGGATGTAGGCATAGGGACCCATTTTTTTTATTTAAATATGAATTTAACATTTCATTGTATAGAAGAAGTATAGAATAGTACCCGCCAGCATATACCAACTACATAGGCGGGGTTACTTTTCCGTTATCATTAATTTCCCGGAAGAGCATCTGGCCGGATGTCCCGGGTGTCGTCGGCCCGTGGTATAGTGGTAGTGGTCCCGCAGCTACATCTTCTGCTACGTGTGCATCTCGCGGCACGTGCGCGCGCGGGCCACCTGCCCCGTGACGCGCTGCCCGGCCGCCGAGTCCTCGCTTGTGCGCCTCTACGTCGACTGATCCCGTGCGGACTCGCTGCTCACTCCATCCATGGATGACACAGTATAGGGGGAAAAGCTGCTGTGGAAATGGAACATACACAATTCGTTAACTGGATATTCGCGACGTCTTACATAACTCATACTCTGCTTACCAGTTTTACATGACACATCACTCATAATTCACTTGCCATCCATACATGGTCCCACTCGGAATTCACTTGCCACTCGTACATGACACATCACTCATAATTCACTTGCCACGCGTACATGACACATCACTCATAATTCACTTGCCACTCCTACATGACACATCACTCATAATTCACTTGCCACTCCTACATGACACTTCACTCATAATTCACTTGCCACTCCTACATGATACATCATTCATAATTCACTTGCCATCCATACATGGTACTACTCGGAATTCACTTGCCACTCGTACATGACACATCACTCATAATTCACTTGCCACGCGTACATGACACATCACTCATAAATCAATTGCTACTCCTACATGACACATCACTCATAATTCACTTGCCTCGCGTACATGACACATCACTCATAATTTACTTGCCACGCGTACATGACACATCATTCATAATTCACTTGCCATTCGTACATAACACATCACTCATAATTCACTTGCTACTCCTACATGACACATCACTCATAATTCACTTGCCATCCATACATGGTACCACTCGGAATTCACTTGCCACTCGTACATGACACATCACTCATAATTCACTTGCCACTCGTACATGACACATCACTCATAATTCACTTGCTACTCCTACATGACACATCACTCATAATTCACTTGCTACTCCTACATGACACATCACTCATAATTCACTTGCCACGCGTACATGACACATCACTCAGAATTCACTTGCCACGCGTACATGACACATCATTCATAATTCACTTGCCACTCGTACATGACACATCACTCAGAATTCACTTGCCACGCGTACATGACACATCATTCATAATTCACTTGCCACTCGTACATGACACATCACTCATAATTCACTTGCCACTCCTACATAACACATCACTCATAATTCACTTGCCACTCCTACATGATACATCATTCATAATTCACTTGCCATCCATACATGGTACCACTCGGAATTCACTTGCCACTCGTACATGACACATCACTCATAATTCACTTGCCACTCGTACATGACACATCACTCATAATTCACTTGCTACTCCTACATGACACATCACTCATAATTCACTTGCCACTCGTACATGACACATCACTCATAATTCACTTGCCACTCCTACATGACACATCACTCATAATTCACTTGCCACTCCTACATGACACATCACTCATAATTCACTTGCCACTCCTACATGACACATCACTCATAATTCACTTAACTATATAAAACATAACACACAGAATCCGTTACCTTATGATGGCTCAGATCGTATTCCACCAACAAATGTACGAAGTTGTCTTATTATGTAAAATCTTTATTGTACATAATTTACATTTAATTCATTCTTAAGTCAAACAAAGCCGGTATTCAGCTTAAGTTAGATCTGAAAAGGCAAGTTATTTCAACACCTCTGTAGCTGATCTTTTTTTTTTTTAATTCACATAAAGTTTCGTAATATCTTTTATGATATTTCGTCAAATTCAAAATTATGACTATTTACTTTTTGGTGTATAGGTTAGCGCTTTGTATAAGGTACGTATTAAAATATTGTGAAAAAGATGTATTGTGTGTTAATAAGAAAGAATGCAATAATACATGTATGTATTTGAAGGTGCTTCACTTTATATTCATTTATGAGAGGGTAGATGGCGCCTGCGTTTTGTTTAATAATGCTTTTAAGAGAGATTAAAAAGTATTGTAGCGACTCATTCCGCTACCTCCTTTTAACCGCGCCAACAATTTTTACGTTAATATAATATTAAGACCCTTTTTCGTTCCAGTGTAGTGACTAAGGACATTTATTGCATTCAACCACTAACCTTGCTTGCAGAAAGATTCTAATCTTGCAGTTGAAAGACAGAACGAGACCAGTAAACATCAAACGACAATAACATTTAAACAGTATTTAATATTTTACATTAAGTAGGATTCGTAAAGACAGGAACATAGATGACAGGAACATAAGATAAACTGAAATTCAAACGTCACAATGTTTCTAAATTATACAAACGAAAAAGGGTCTTAATATTATTATATTGAAATAAAAATTGTTGGCGCGGTTAAAAGGAGGTAACGGAATGAGTCGCTACAAGTGTCAGTAATGTAGCGTTATGGAAATGTACTCGATCTAAGAAATCTAAGTTTTGGATTTAAAAGTGGTATTTTTAAATTGACGAATAATAATTGAAATGGTGATGGTAATTCTTAATGTAATTTGCAATATCATTTGAATATTATTGAAATATGTGAAAAGAATATAAAAAAAAATTATTTGGTTTTAATATGTAACTACCCTCTTATTCATAAAAATGTCAAATTTTATTTTAGCTATTGAATTGTTGTCCTTTCTTTTGTGCTAAAATCTCAATTTGAAAGAATCAAAACAGTGTAATATTAATTTATTTTATTTATATATTTATTATATCAAAATCCACAGCTCCTAAAATATATAATATTTTATTGTTAATTTTTGTACTTGCAGTCAATTACGGATTTATACTTTATAAAATATTCTTTATTAAGAAGTAAGCGTTCACAAAACTTGTATTATATTGAAATAGATTTGTAGAATGTTTTAGTTACGAATAAGAGGGTAAAACTAGTACATTATACATATTTGCTATCGATATGTGATAAATAAATTATTTAAAGGTAACTAATAAGCCAAAATATTACATTTTTCAATGTAATATTAAAATTGTCATTCCTGGCATACCTGCGCCTACATATGATTGTGATAAAACTAGATTATAGTGTTATTTTATATATAAAGGTTGTATACTTAGATTATATACATAGAAATATATAGATTTGTATGGAGACATCCATAGAAATGTTTCGAGAAAAGTGGGTCAACTTTTTCATACAATTTTGCGTGATAAATAGTTATGTGTGATTCCTTTATAACTTCTATATTTATTTTGTCTTATAATTTCTGCAACTTTTTAATGCGTAAACACTCATTTTGTTTATTACATTTAATACGTAAGTATATATAGAACACTGATAGAAAAACGAGTCAACTAATTTGACAATTAGCTGACAGAAAGTTGCCCCGTTTTTGAGACTCGATGCTCTATCTATATAATCTAAGGTGGTATTATATTTTGAATATTAATATTGTTAATTAATTTTAACGAATTATTATAAGTACTCTATGACCATCGCACGAGGAACAGTAAAATTGAGAATAATCTATTTTTGAAGTCGGCTAAAAATAAATGTGTCAACGCCGACAAAAAAGGCCATTTCACAAGACTTTAAAGGGTTTGTCACTATTGTATATATTTATCCTTACACTGTGGTATCGAACAGGTATCTTTGTACTCTCAATAATTCTCTAACAGACTGTACTTATTATCAAAAAATTATCTATAGGTAAAAGTGGCATATTTTTTCCCATTTATCCTTACTGGACACACAATGGTAGTGACAAGGGAAAAAAATTCCGCTCTTACAGTTGGTCGGGACAAGTGGAATTGGCCAAGTGCACTGGGCCCATAACAGTGTAATACTTAATAGTTCCAGTGCCTTTGTTATTTTTACATTGTTACATATTTATACATTGTTACATTGTTTATACAAATAAAACAATACGAATGTTATAATGTTGTTTAATTACGAAAATAACACGCATTATTAGTAATAATTAACACAGTAACAGAATATTACTAACACAGTACATACTAAGACAAATAAAAAAATATTTATATAAAAAAGGTATGGAGCCGTCCTGAAATAAAACTCGTCGCTTTACTGGATCTAAACATACGTGGGTGGTTTTATAGGTTACGAATTCAAATTCGTAAATCAAATTTAATGCTGTAACACCAAATGAAGGTAATGAGGCATCTCACGCAACAATACCTACATAATAAAATTATTTTTCTGTTTTAATAAATTAATTAATATTTTTAAAATAAATGTGTGGCTGAATATTCCTAGCCATATATTTTATTACTAAATTAGTAATAAAAATACTATATGCGTAAAAAAATTATATAACCGCCCGTAGATTTAGAAAATTTTCTTCAAATTATCTTTAATTACAAAATAATCGATAAAAACTACAAATCTCGATTGTAACGCCATCTAGTGTCGTGTCTATTTTTATTTAGGGACCAACCACCTTAACAATTTTTTACAGTTTCACTAACTAAATTTGAATCTCTAAGAATAACTAAATAATTATTAACGTACATAGATATTGTAGTAAAATATGTAAGTGATATTTCGATTTATACATACATATATATATAACTTTACTTATAAAATATTATCGTGTACAAAATTGTTTATATCAAGTTTCATACATTCGCAAATACATACACATTTTGCAAATATAAATTTCGGTAGAAAACGGGAGTTTAAGAATTCAGAAATTTATTCTAGTAGGTTTAAAATTATATATATACATATATATATATATATATATATATATTAATATTAAGTGGAATAAGTACCTAAATAACTTATAAACGAATTCACAAACTCTGTTTAAAATAACGATCAATTTGGGCAATAAAGAACTACAAATAATCCACTTCGGTGACCAACCCCGGGGGCAGGTAGTGGTGAGCTATCTGCCTTCCGTTCTTCGCCACGAGCGCCAGCCTCGGCGTCTTGCCTTGCACCAGGATGGCGGTGGGCGGCTCGGACGGCCCCACGGAGGCTGGCGGAGTCTTCGATATGTACTCGGTCAGTTCCTCGCGGGAGTTGAAGGTCTCCGCGCCGTAAGCTATCTGGCCGTCAGACAGTTGGACGGTCCTCCAGGGCTCCGGGGTTTCGAAGTAGCCGCCCTCACCCTGTGAGACGGTTGATGGAGTATTAAAAAATGGCAATTAATAATGATATAAACGCTTAATTAACATTATCCATTGAAAAAAAAAAAACAAGGACAATTGGCAAATTTAATGCTTTATATTTAGTTACATAGTTACATCAGGCAGATCAAGGAAGGAATTGGTGTCGTGTCGTATCAAGAGGTGAAGACACTCGCTATATATATAAAAAAATATAATATATATATATATATATATATATATATATATATATATATATATCCGTCCGATTGGTAGACATGAGTCTCTCCCTATAAGAATATATAGAAACTTAGTATTACCACAGTATTGTGATATTACTGCGATAGCCACGGTGCATTAATAAATTTTTAAATTTTCCTTCTCTTGAACTGCGCGTCGATCCAGAAAGTCGCCGATCACCTCACTTGTAAGAAAAAGGCGTTTTTCCATAGGTAAAAAGTTCTGACACACTGTATTTTTAGGTACTTCGATAACTACACGAAGCTGGGGAGAGAAGGGATTGTTAATAATGGGGATCAGTAGCCCCATTGTTAGCAATACACCCTGTCAGGTCGACCTCCTCGCGGTACCCCTTGGAAACTATCGTGTTCTATTGCAAGTGAATTCTTTTCATCCTGTCTTTTCATCCTCACCTATCATCCCTCAATGGTGCCCCGCCAGCGTATACCGTTAGCGCAGGCGGGGATACCATTTCATGGATGATAAATCATTTAATAAAAAACCTCACGAAGCTGTTCCTTGTGTGTTAAAGATTAAATGTACTTACTGTAACACCAACATGCCAGAAAGTAAATTCTTAATATGCGAAGCTGAGGGAAATAGGCAAAGATTGTATGAAAATAGAAGCAAACCTCGAATGTGGAGACGGCGTAGTGGTTGCCCTTCCTGGCGGTGACGACGGAGAGCAGCGCGCCGTCCTGGTTGACGACGGGCGCGCCGGCCACGTACTGGTTGGCCGACTCGAAGCTGGGCGCGCAACGCCACTGCGCCAGCTGCCCGTCGCTCGACGTGATCAGCAGCCGCTTCGTTCGGTTGATGAACACCTGGCCGACAGTATTGGAGGGAATATTAGAGAACACCTGGTGTTAAGTCCGCCATATGTACATAGTTTTATTGCTTTTTTTTATACAACTTAGAATGGCAAACAGGCTGACGGTCCACCTGATGGAAAGTGGTAACCGTCGCCTATAGACATGAGGAGTGCCATGGACATAACAAAGTATACTGTTTCGCCCATGATACCCACCATACGTTGCCATTCCTGAGGACTCGGGTGTTATTCCTCTGTACCTAGTAAACTCACGTTACCTTCTCGGCGGTGTTCTCGTCGAGACGAACGTAGGCCAGTTCCTCGAGCGGCGCCATCAGTTCCTGTGTGAACACGTCGCAGTAATGATGCGTCACTTTCGCCAGCTTCGACACCTGTAATACCATATTTAATATATTATTAGCAAACTTTTTAATTTTGAATAAAACGGAAACATAGCCAGGTAAGGTGCTAGAATCTATAGAGAGACGCTATACGATTAATAAAGGATCGAATCAAATCAAATTTTGAGAGAGAGTATAGCGCGGATTCCGGATCACATATTTTTTTGTCCTTTACTATAAGAGTTTTTGGATGAATGAATGGATGATATAAAACGGTAACCCCGTCTGCGCTAACGGTATACGCTGGCGGGGCACCAGTGAGGGATAATAGGTGACGATGAAAGCAGGTCAGTCAGCCCATCGTGATGAAAACACCTGTAATTCAGCACGATAGTTTCCCGGGGCAACCAAGTGTAGGTCGACATGATAGTGTATATTGCTAGCAATGGGAACGGTAGTCCGCATCACTAACAATCCCTTCACCCCCTCTGTTACGGGAGTTGGGTAACACTTTCAAAGGTATCGACTTTTTTAGTCATTATGAAAAGCTAGTCCAGGAATACGCCAATCATACTTAGGCCGACCCTATAAACACATTTTAAAATGCATTCTCAGGGAGGGCATTGAGGAGCCTTCCTTAAAATAAAGGCCTCAAGAAAATTAGATTCGCTTTTTCGAAGTCACTTAATTATGGCTTCTACCAAAAGTTATTTTGCCCTATTTTGATCTAGCTATGGCCCTGGCTGGCTGTAAACGAATAGAGATGGGCAATCCACCTGGGTGGGTTTAAAGTCTGGTGGGTAAAAACCGGGTGTTTTGGGTTTATTGGGTTTAAACCCCATAAACACCCAAATTTTTGGGTGTTTATGATTTTGTACTTCATCATCGTCATCTCAGCCGCAAGACGTCCACTATACTGGACATAGACAATATTATTATGCAGCCTACAGAATAAAAAACTTTTAATTTGATTTTGAGTTTATTAAGAAAGAGATGAAAGTAAAATGTAAAACTACAGTCAATCACTGTCAGATTCAGAGTTATTACAAGCGATGAATTGTATAGGTTCGATAGGCTCTATTTCGTCTAAACTGTTATGTTCATTTACTTGCTCAATGAAAGCTTCTAAGGTATTTTCTTCATTAAACTGAATGTCCTCGCATTCAGCTTTATGTTTAAGATTCCAGTTATAACAAATGAATGAAATTTTTTCAGTTCTTTCAGTTGTAAGTCGATTTCTTTTGTTATTATGTATGTAGCCTTGGATACTAAAGGAACGCTCAGTGGCTGCCGAAGTACAGGGAGCTGATAGAATACGAATCGCTACTTTGCTTAACTCAGTGGAACCACAAATACCTTTCCACCATATTAGGGGCTCAATGCTATCTAATGAGCTCCATACAAATCCTCTGGCCCAAAAGTTTTCTTTAGCTTTATAACACGCCAAATCTGCCATTACATTTGACAAACTTAAGTGTTGGCTTAAATTGTAGATAAACTCCATACCCTTAAGTTCTTCCTCTTGAGTAAGTTCGACTCCTAGAGTCCTGGGGTCTAGAATATATGCTGCAAAATGTATTGGCCTCATTGCCATATTGCATCTTGAAGATACTGATGTTAGAATCTGCTGTTTGCTTTCTTCGCTCAATGTCGAAATCTCATTTAATGCAAAACGTATCTTAGCTTGTACATCTCTAAATGTAATGTATGTGCGATGCAAACGATTCTGGTCGCTCTCTAAGTAAAATATGCTTTCAGTGACTGGTTCCAAAATACTTATACATTCCCCTGTCTTCGTCCAGAAATCATCACTTAGAATTAAATCTTTAATATCTCTTGAAATTACCACATCTTCTCTAACTGTTAATATTTGCAAAGCTATCTTATTTGCTTTCAAACTTTTTAACGAAGTAACATGACTTCCCCATCTTGTAGCACAAGGCAATTTTAGTGTTTGTGTAGAATCTTCACCCTGCCTTGATTTTATCAACAAGGAACTTAATCGTTGACTCCTTTTAACAGTTTTTATTATATTTATGGCTTGCATAATAAACACAGTTACTTCTTGTATCTTTACAATATCTTGGCACAACAAGTTAAGGATATGTGCACAGCAACCGAGAGGAACAACATGTGGATATTTGAGTTTTGTTAATTCGAATGCCTTTTGTATATTTCTAGCGTTATCGCCAATAAGTACAAGAAACTTATTTGCTCCATACACTTTCATTACTTTTTCAACTTCTTGGCTAAGGTATTCACTAGTGTGAGGATTACTTTCTGTATTCAAACTTTTAACGTATGCAGGTTGAGGTTTTGATATAAGAAAGTTTATTATTCCTTCATTTCTTAAATTAGACCAGCCATCGCACTGAAGGTGTAAGTAACTACAAGCATTTAGTTCCTCATTTAACTCAAAACGCATTTCTCTATATATTTTATCTAAGTATTTTGTCGCTAAAGCTTTACGTGAAGGTATTTTAAATTTTGGTTGCAATTTTTCGAAAAATTGTATCCATAAAGGATGTTGCACCATCGATAATGGCGTCCCTGTTACAAATATAGCTCTCGCTAATTCTGTTTTTATATGATCATCGGTGTCTTGAAACTCAGCATTTATTGTAGTGTTAGCAGACGACGAGGGGCTTATAAAAGAATCATTTGTCTCTATCTCTGACAGTCCAGACATTTTGGTTTTGGACGAGCTATCTTTTATAAGTTTCATAGAGTCTTTTAATGTTTCTGGAGATTTTGGACAAGTGATAAGATGTTGAAGCATTTTGGCAGCATTACTGAATTTGTAGACCTTATTACAAAGCTTGCAAGAAACAGACTTGTTTGGTAAAGTACGGTAGTGCTCCCATATGCGTAAATCTTTAGGTCTCCCCATTGAACCTAAAAAAATGAACGATGATTAGTTGGTCTGACGAAAATTCAACAATAAAGTGCCTATTTTTTACAATGATTATTTCTTGTTATTTACAATAAATTTATTAAAAAAATAATAAAATAAATACAAAAAACCTTTGTAAAATTACATCTCCTCGGAGGATTAAACGCAGACGCTAGTTTATTATCGTATTGTTCTGTATTTTTCTCAGCAACTTCTTTAATTCGATTAGGTACTTACGCATATTATGTTAAAAATAAATATCTAGTACACATCTTAGGCTATCGACCATTATTATCCAATGACGACTCTCAGCTAACTATGCACTATCATCCAAAATAAACGTGTATGGAAAATTTTATCCCAGTCGGTTGAGGATTGAGGATAATTGCATCAACATACGAACATACCTACATACTTTTATTTACATAACGCAAGCTAAATAAAAGCTTGTAATAATACATCTAATTTTAAGTTAAAATTGTTAAGTGATCATGATATAATTGTATCATTCAAAAATCCACTTACCTTTAATTATTTCTTGTTAAGTATAAATATTATTTCAAATCTGCTCCCTTAATATGCACTTTTTTACTGCTTTTCCTACCTAACACGTTACCAGGAAGTCACGTTACCAGAGTCAGAGTAATAGTGAACACGTTTGACAGTGATTGTCGTCGCCTCATATTCAGCGTCGACGAATAGGGGAATCCCCAGTCATAATGTATTGCATGCGTGGCGGTCTTACTTCAAATCCATAAACAAAGAGATAATTACAGAACTCGATACTAGATGGCGCTGTTTTTGTTTGAAGAAAGTTTGCGGGCTAAAATACATAGAATTTCATCAATGACTTCCACAAAGAACAACATTTCTGTTTTTTCTAAGTCCGTATCTCTTCCGTATATTTCATAAGATATAAGCTTGGGCTACATTGTTATGCAACGTGATTTTGTCGCTGTCTTGCTAGCAGGGTTGACAGATATACGATTTAAATCGTACTCATACTATTATTTGTCTATTTTTTAATGTACGATTGTAAAGATTATGATCGTAATTCGCACAAAAACATACGACTTTTTGGTTACCTGGCAACATTTTTATTATGAAACGAACATGCTCACATCATCAGTCACATGCAACAATTTATTGGGGATTTCCCCTTCACATCTGGCAGTCCTGCTTGCTAGAATATAGGTAAGTCAGCCACAGTTACTGACGATCGATATTTAAAGGGTATTGTTTTTGTGCTAAATATTTCATAAAAACGTTATTTAATACTTTGTGGATTATTAATTTAGTTGATAATCACTGGAAGTAAAATGGATGCTAATTTGAGAGATCAAGATCTTCGTATAAAACAGTTAATAAAAGAAAATCTACGTAAGTACTCTTTTTATACCTAGGTAGGTAAGGTATAATAAACACAAAAGGTACTTAGATCGCGTGTGTTCGAAGCATTTATTCTAATAAATTTAATTTAAAATTGTAGAAAGAAAAAATGTCTGCCAAGCCGTAGCCGAAGCCGATCTCCAAATATATTTGGCGATAGTGAGACCCAGTGTCCAGATGATTTACCCAGCGTCGTCGCAACAAAGAAAAAAACGAGGATAAAGTAAAAGAAAATTTACTGAAAGAAGAAACAAACTGTTCTAAATGCTTAATTTATGGAGAAGAGGATAAAAGAAATGAGTATTTCGGACTGTTAGTGGCTCAAGAATTTAAATATATACGGCCATGTGTGCGAACGAGGTGTTATGAAGAAATTTTAAAGTATCTACGGGAAGCAAAAGGCCAACATGTTGATCAACTGCAACATGAAAACACTGAAAATTAATTACTTTCATTTTATTATATATAGATTTTTAAAATTTCCTGAAATATTATTAGTTAACGTTTTATTTAATATTGTAGAATTGATCAATACAATTTATAAAAATAATTTATTGGTATTACTTACATATTTTCAAAAAAATACGTAAAAACCTATTTTTTTGGGTGATTATGGGAGTTTATGGGTGTTTATTGGGTTTTTACCAAAGCACCGGGTTTAAACCCGGTGCTTTGCCCATCTGTATAAACGAATCATAATAAGTTTAAAAATATACTAAGCTCGAGTTTGTAAAGCAAACTATATTATGATTCATACAAGACGGATTTTTTAACAACCTTGTCTTTGCCAGAGACGCATCTATGACTGACCTGTTCAGGCGTGCAGCAGTGTATCGGTACAACATCACCAAACGAGGCATACTTGGTGCCGTCCGGCCGCTCGTGCAGTTCTGCTGGGATGGGGAAGTTTTCCACTATCCCCTTGTAGTTCTCATTGAGCACCGTTCGCTTCGACATTGTGACCTGGAATGGGTTTAAATCTGTTTAAATTTTATGTGAATAACAGGGTTCATGGCGTCCATGGTGCTGTTCATGTTTATATAACATGGTTTGTAAGCTTGTTTGCCATTATAAGTATTTTAAATAAAAAAATCAAATAATATTTTTAATTTTGCATGTTTTATTATTGAAATAACAGGGGCTATTAAACCCCATTACTAACAATCCCTTTCCCCCCCTACTATGCAGGTTAGTCGACTTGATAATAATATAGTTTCATTTCTATTTTTCTTTCCAATATACCTGAGTGGTACGTAGTTTGCTCCAGACTCTATCACCTACAACTTCTTCAGGATAATGAAACGGGGATCCAAATCACACTTATTCACTTCGATATTTAATATTGTGGCTTGAAAGTGTATAGTATAAGTAAATCTATATACTTACCAACCTATATGACTCAGGACAAGACCCACAGCACAATAGATAGGTAATAACTGAATTATTATTTATTATGTACTTTGCTAACTCTAAACTTCCTTAAGGAACAGTGCGAACTTGCCGCCGGCACAGTCGACTGTAATGTCAAAGAGAGCTTTATCTCGATAAATGTTTTCGTGAGTGTCGAATGTCCTGACATGTCTTATCGCGTTTCGTAATAGAATGCAATGTGTTTACAGATGGGCAAAGCACCGGGTTTAAACCCGGTGCTTTGGTAAAAACCCAATAAACACCCATAAACTCCCATAATCACCCAAAAAAATAGGTTTTTACGTATTTTTTTGAAAATATGTAAGTAATACCAATAAATTATTTTTATAAATTGTATTGATCAATTCTACAATATTAAATAAAACGTTAACTAATAATATTTCAGGAAATTTTAAAAATCTATATATAATAAAATGAAAGTAATTAATTTTCAGTGTTTTCATGTTGCAGTTGATCAACATGTTGGCCTTTTGCTTCCCGTAGATACTTTAAAATTTCTTCATAACACCTCGTTCGCACACATGGCCGTATATATTTAAATTCTTGAGCCACTAACAGTCCGAAATACTCATTTCTTTTATCCTCTTCTCCATAAATTAAGCATTTAGAACAGTTTGTTTCTTCTTTCAGTAAATTTTCTTTTACTTTATCCTCGTTTTTTTCTTTGTTGCGACGACGCTGGGTAAATCATCTGGACACTGGGTCTCACTATCGCCAAATATATTTGGAGATCGGCTTCGGCTACGGCTTGGCAGACATTTTTTTCTTTCTACAATTTTAAATTAAATTTATTAGAATAAATGCTTCGAACACACGCGATCTAAGTACCTTTTGTGTTTATTATACCTTACCTACCTAGGTATAAAAAGAGTACTTACGTAGATTTTCTTTATTAACTGTTTTATACGAAGATCTTGATCTCTCAAATTAGCATCCATTTTACTTCCAGTGATTATCAACTAAATTAATAATCCACAAAGTATTAAATAACGTTTTTATGAAATATTTAGCACAAAAACAATACCCTTTAAATATCGATCGTCAGTAACTGTGGCTGACTTACCTATATTCTAGCAAGCAGGACTGCCAGATGTGAAGGGGAAATCCCCAATAAATTGTTGCATGTGACTGATGATGTGAGCATGTTCGTTTCATAATAAAAATGTTGCCAGGTAACCAAAAAGTCGTATGTTTTTGTGCGAATTACGATCATAATCTTTACAATCGTACATTAAAAAATAGACAAATAATAGTATGAGTACGATTTAAATCGTATATCTGTCAACCCTGCTAGCAAGACAGCGACAAAATCACGTTGCATAACAATGTAGCCCAAGCTTATATCTTATGAAATATACGGAAGAGATACGGACTTAGAAAAAACAGAAATGTTGTTCTTTGTGGAAGTCATTGATGAAATTCTATGTATTTTAGCCCGCAAACTTTCTTCAAACAAAAACAGCGCCATCTAGTATCGAGTTCTGTAATTATCTCTTTGTTTATGGATTTGAAGTAAGACCGCCACGCATGCAATACATTATGACTGGGGATTCCCCTATTCGTCGACGCTGAATATGAGGCGACGACAATCACTGTCAAACGTGTTCACTATTACTCTGACTCTGGTAACGTGACTTCCTGGTAACGTGTTAGGTAGGAAAAGCAGTAAAAAAGTGCATATTAAGGGAGCAGATTTGAAATAATATTTATACTTAACAAGAAATAATTAAAGGTAAGTGGATTTTTGAATGATACAATTATATCATGATCACTTAACAATTTTAACTTAAAATTAGATGTATTATTACAAGCTTTTATTTAGCTTGCGTTATGTAAATAAAAGTATGTAGGTATGTTCGTATGTTGATGCAATTATCCTCAATCCTCAACCGACTGGGATAAAATTTTCCATACACGTTTATTTTGGATGATAGTGCATAGTTAGCTGAGAGTCGTCATTGGATAATAATGGTCGATAGCCTAAGATGTGTACTAGATATTTATTTTTAACATAATATGCGTAAGTACCTAATCGAATTAAAGAAGTTGCTGAGAAAAATACAGAACAATACGATAATAAACTAGCGTCTGCGTTTAATCCTCCGAGGAGATGTAATTTTACAAAGGTTTTTTGTATTTATTTTATTATTTTTTTAATAAATTTATTGTAAATAACAAGAAATAATCATTGTAAAAAAATAGGCACTCTATTGTTGAATTTTCGTCAGACCAACTAATCATCGTTCATTTTTTTAGGTTCAATGGGGAGACCTAAAGATTTACGCATATGGGAGCACTACCGTACTTTACCAAACAAGTCTGTTTCTTGCAAGCTTTGTAATAAGGTCTACAAATTCAGTAATGCTGCCAAAATGCTTCAACATCTTATCACTTGTCCAAAATCTCCAGAAACATTAAAAGACTCTATGAAACTTATAAAAGATAGCTCGTCCAAAACCAAAATGTCTGGACTGTCAGAGATAGAGACAAATGATTCTTTTATAAGCCCCTCGTCGTCTGCTAACACTACAATAAATGCTGAGTTTCAAGACACCGATGATCATATAAAAACAGAATTAGCGAGAGCTATATTTGTAACAGGGACGCCATTATCGATGGTGCAACATCCTTTATGGATACAATTTTTCGAAAAATTGCAACCAAAATTTAAAATACCTTCACGTAAAGCTTTAGCGACAAAATACTTAGATAAAATATATAGAGAAATGCGTTTTGAGTTAAATGAGGAACTAAATGCTTGTAGTTACTTACACCTTCAGTGCGATGGCTGGTCTAATTTAAGAAATGAAGGAATAATAAACTTTCTTATATCAAAACCTCAACCTGCATACGTTAAAAGTTTGAATACAGAAAGTAATCCTCACACTAGTGAATACCTTAGCCAAGAAGTTGAAAAAGTAATGAAAGTGTATGGAGCAAATAAGTTTCTTGTACTTATTGGCGATAACGCTAGAAATATACAAAAGGCATTCGAATTAACAAAACTCAAATATCCACATGTTGTTCCTCTCGGTTGCTGTGCACATATCCTTAACTTGTTGTGCCAAGATATTGTAAAGATACAAGAAGTAACTGTGTTTATTATGCAAGCCATAAATATAATAAAAACTGTTAAAAGGAGTCAACGATTAAGTTCCTTGTTGATAAAATCAAGGCAGGGTGAAGATTCTACACAAACACTAAAATTGCCTTGTGCTACAAGATGGGGAAGTCATGTTACTTCGTTAAAAAGTTTGAAAGCAAATAAGATAGCTTTGCAAATATTAACAGTTAGAGAAGATGTGGTAATTTCAAGAGATATTAAAGATTTAATTCTAAGTGATGATTTCTGGACGAAGACAGGGGAATGTATAAGTATTTTGGAACCAGTCACTGAAAGCATATTTTACTTAGAGAGCGACCAGAATCGTTTGCATCGCACATACATTACATTTAGAGATGTACAAGCTAAGATACGTTTTGCATTAAATGAGATTTCGACATTGAGCGAAGAAAGCAAACAGCAGATTCTAACATCAGTATCTTCAAGATGCAATATGGCAATGAGGCCAATACATTTTGCAGCATATATTCTAGACCCCAGGACTCTAGGAGTCGAACTTACTCAAGAGGAAGAACTTAAGGGTATGGAGTTTATCTACAATTTAAGCCAACACTTAAGTTTGTCAAATGTAATGGCAGATTTGGCGTGTTATAAAGCTAAAGAAAACTTTTGGGCCAGAGGATTTGTATGGAGCTCATTAGATAGCATTGAGCCCCTAATATGGTGGAAAGGTATTTGTGGTTCCACTGAGTTAAGCAAAGTAGCGATTCGTATTCTATCAGCTCCCTGTACTTCGGCAGCCACTGAGCGTTCCTTTAGTATCCAAGGCTACATACATAATAACAAAAGAAATCGACTTACAACTGAAAGAACTGAAAAAATTTCATTCATTTGTTATAACTGGAATCTTAAACATAAAGCTGAATGCGAGGACATTCAGTTTAATGAAGAAAATACCTTAGAAGCTTTCATTGAGCAAGTAAATGAACATAACAGTTTAGACGAAATAGAGCCTATCGAACCTATACAATTCATCGCTTGTAATAACTCTGAATCTGACAGTGATTGACTGTAGTTTTACATTTTACTTTCATCTCTTTCTTAATAAACTCAAAATCAAATTAAAAGTTTTTTATTCTGTAGGCTGCATAATAATATTGTCTATGTCCAGTATAGTGGACGTCTTGCGGCTGAGATGACGATGATGAAGTACAAAATCATAAACACCCAAAAATTTGGGTGTTTATGGGGTTTAAACCCAATAAACCCAAAACACCCGGTTTTTACCCACCAGACTTTAAACCCACCCAGGTGGATTGCCCATCTCTAAATGTGTTGTTTGCATTCTATAAAATACGCAATAGGTTATAATTAACTTCCTTCCTATAGTGCACTCATTACCTACTTACATATCGCATTTTTTTTTTTATTGGATGAAAATGGAATGGTAACCCCGCTTGCGCTAACGAAATACGCTGGCGGGGCACCAGTGAAGGGTGATCGATGAGAATGAAAACAGGCCAGTTAGCCCATCATGATCAATTCATCTGGAATTAACCATGATAGTTTCCAGGGGGAATCGCGTATAGGCCGACCTGGTTGGGTATATTGCTAGCAATAGGATTCTTAGTCTCCATTGCTAACAATCCCTTTCCCCCATACATATCGCATTTGTTACGTCTTTGTGTACCTACTATTACTGATGACAGCTATAGCGATCTAACGGCCCAATACAGCGCTAAGGGGGGAAGGGATTGTTAGTAATGCGGATTACTATTTTGATAAAAATGTGTATGGGACCAAGCGGAAAGTATATCCTTACAATAAATATTTTGTTTAAATCTGTTTATAAATAATGGAGTTCCGAGATAACAAACATAAAAATACAACCGAATTGTAAATAGTTTGCATGGTTGTGTTTCGGTTTGAATGGTGGGATATGACAATAAAATTACAGGACACAGAGGCGTAATATCTTAGTGCTCAGGAATAGCAACGCATGGGCGTCACAACGTACTTATGATGTCCACAGTGCTGTTCATATCTACAGGCGATCGTTTACCACTTTCCATCAGGTGGGCCTTCAGCTTGTTCGTCATTCTAAGTTGCTTATAAAAATTTATAACCTCCTGCTTTTCGTGAAATCGGTTAAAAGCAGGTTCACTCGTGAATACACACACTGAGAAACGGTAAGTTATTTCATAGATACCCTGTATTATATAAAATTAAAATTTAGGACGTAGAATTAGGTGATTACATATACCTTACCTAGATTTTGATTTGTAACAAGCAATTTTGCTCCGCAAAAATAAACACCAGTTACAATCGCCGCAAAATTAAAATGGAACCACTACGAGACTTAAACTATGAATATCAATTCAGAATTTTCGACGTAAATGCCACCAAAAATATAGACAAAAGGATTCCTTGAAGAGGAAGCCATTTAAAAACGGTACCGGTATTTGGATATGTTATTTATTTAAATTAAACTTACCAGTTACAAACTTTAATCACGTATAAAGTCAATAAACAATAATCTTGATACACAGTCACATGTCGATTATTTCATTTTGTTTGGTTGGTAACACGTGCATTACACTAATACCCATCACACGGCGCCTAACGTGTTTAAATTAGATAATTATTGAAGTTGATAATTGAGAATTTGAAAATATTGAGCTGTATTTGTAAACGATAGAGAAACCGGTATGTTCTGAATTGGTTTGCGTAGATACCACGATTGATAAAGCGCTTATCTTAAGATAAGATATCTGACTGCCGAATTTCGCTGAACATGTACGACTTTACTTAGAATTTATGTTATTATAGTTAACTAGCGACTCGTTGGGGGGAAAGGGATTGTTAGTAATGGAGACTAAAAATCCTATTGCTAGCAATATACCCAACCAGGTCGACCTCCTCGCGGTTCTCCCTGGAAACTATTATGGTTAATTCCCGATGAATTCATCATGATGGGCTAACTGGCCTGTTTTCATTCTCATCTATCACCCTTCACTGGTGCTCCATGCAAACACATGTGATATCCGTGCAGTGTGGAGAGATTGATAATATTGCTATTGCATTTTTTTTTATTTAATACTTTATTGTACACATTAGTTATAAAAATATGACAGAGGTAAGCAAAAGTACAAAGGCGAGCTTAGCTCTGATAGAGATAGATAGATTGTATCCGTCTTAGCTTTCCAAACTTTGCATGATTTATAATAAATAATACTAATAAATAAATTTTTTAATAAAGTAACCAGGACCCACACAATTTTTGTACAATATTAATTTATATTAAACTTAAAATATTATTCCCAAAAAGGATTGACGTCAGGCAGGCGGCCGCTCGTAAAACTATAAGCCAAATCCTTTTGTAATATGGATAAAACCATATTACGCCGACCACAAATAATAATTGGGATAAGGGTAGGAAGATGGTGATTAAATTTAAACTATATATATGACGTTATTATCTATATCGTCATAGTCGTAGAATACTGACGGATCTGACAAAGATTACATATATAGATCCGTCAGTATTCTACCACTATGACGATATGTCCGCTAAGCGGACGCGACACAGATGCGCATTTTTTGTTGAGAGGTTAAATTTAATTATTACAATTTATATAATTTTTTAAACATTAAAATAGTTATAGAAAGCTATCTGTATAATATAGAATGCCGTCGATGATTTTTTTGTAATCCTAAATAAGAGGAACAATTCCATCATACAATATTTTGTTTTATTTCACATTTTTGGTCGAAAGCTCTCAGTGGACTTGATAGCTTCCGACATCTTATTTATTTTCTCTTGGCCATAGCAAAATATAAACTAACAATCTCCTTTCTTTCCCTTCCTTCATGCGTGTGCCATAGTAACATAAAATGGTCACAACTCAGTTTATTGCTTGGCCCTTAAAAGAGCAAAACACTGATATTCTGTTGTGGCCAAGAGTCAGTCGCGAAACTCCTCATTAAAAATAACAATAAAAAGCAATATAAATAAAATGTATTGCGTGTGTCCATTGCATTCGCCTCCATTTGATATTATATTCTAAATGAATAAATAAATAACAGATACCATTAGATAAGGGGTAGTCAGAGATCACTTTCTGTCACATTCAGGTATTCAGGCAATAAATATATTCAGATAATCCCCCTTCTGGGGGAGTCTTATGTTTAGCAGTTAACGAATGATATGTAGTTTTATTTTTATTAATATGAAGTTTGTGATATATGTTATTCAGTAAATTTTTTTTTTTCACGTGAACTCAACTTTTGTCTGGAAAAAGTAACAACCGTGTCTGCCTGTTCTCAGCTGTAATTACGTTCCGAACTGTTCGGTAAATTATAAATAAATGACTATATAAAAATGTTTATAATTAAGTTTACTTGAAAAAAATATATCTATTTTTATTAATTCAATTTAAATTACAATAAATTACCTATGTATTAGACAAAACTTTTCACACGAGTCTGTTTCACTCGGTACACTCAAATAAACTCGAAATCCCGATCAGAAATAAAGGGGGCATATGGGTCGCGTACAAGAAGTGTAGGCTATAGACAAATCATGGGGGCAAATTCATAAAAATATTACGCGTCGTAGTCACAAATTTAAATATTACTATATATTTTGCCCGGGAAAACGGATTTATTATACTCTGTAACGAGGACTAGCGGCCCCATCGCTGACAATATTCTAAACTGTCAGATTGACCTCTATGTACAAATCGTCGTAATGCATGCGTGTAATATAAGACCGGATTCATACAGAGTTCCAATGGGAATGATATACGGGAACTAACCCAGGTATTCGTGGCAAAATCAGTTATTTTATCTGAAAGTATTAATTTTTATATAAAAAGGAATCTTTGAAATCGGTTTATAAATAACGGAGTTATTAGGTAACAAACAAAAAAAAATACACCCGAATAGAAAATTTTTATAAATTTGAATATTGAAAATGAACAAGAAGCGTAATATTACCAGTAATCGAAATAATTCGCTGTCCTACAACGAGTTATTTCATATATCATTTTAAACATTTCGGGGTTGCTTCAGAACAATGAGGTTTATTCACCGTAAAAAACGACTACACCCACACAGAGGTTAAATAAATTATTAATAATTACAATAACGAAACCACACACAAAATATTTATATATAAATAAAGAATATAAAATAAAAAAAAAATATCTCAGGGAATTAATGAAACTGATACACCCCGTCAACGCAGTTTCAATTGACACAAAATTAAAATGAGACCAATATATATATATATATATATATATATATATATATATAACACTTGTTTAAACGATGTTATGTTATACGATGCACCACAAACCTTCCCGACTGCAAAAAGAAGTGTGATAGTTAAGATTGTGTTCCACAAAAACGAATCTAAACTATTGAAGCGATTTTGTAAAATTTCTATGGGACCAATATGTAAGTATATCTTTTCAGATAAAAAAAATCAAGAATTTACCAAATCGATTTACAACTGACGGAGTTATGAGGTAACTTCAGAATGAGGTCGTAGTTTCGAAACATTTAAAAATAAGTTCAGACCATTAACCCTCTGTTTTCGAAATACAGGTAACAGACCATCGTAAAGTTGATAATATAATTATTAAAATGTGTTTACAATTATTTACATTCGGATTAAGTTAGAATTATGTTATAAAAAATACCTACTCACCTGTTCATTTTCATCATTTGACTTCAAATTAATATTCGAATCCATATTTAAAAAAAAAAGTCAATCACGAATGCGTTTATTTTTAATGCGTAAATTTAGAATAATTATTGTAACAATCGCTACACAAGAATAACAACTATACAGCCGAATTTGATTTTATATAGCCGAGCACAATCATTTACCACCCTTTGACATCGCCAGAGTAAAAAAATTAGCCCGTATACGACTACGTTATTAAAGCGAATATGGAAATTATCGACCGATAAGTATGAAAGCTTTCAATCTTTCAGTGTATGTATTCAAAACTGCAAATTGAATCCGCTATAGTAACTTGCACAAAGCACTAGCGACAGTGCCTGTATCTATTTAGGTGATCTTACACTCCCTAACAACTGGCAACATTGGAAGGTTCTTCCACCGTCATAGATGCTGTTGATTTAGTGACGTCAGTAAACAAATTTCATTAGCTCTCTGAAAATTTATTCAATCATTATTAAAACGATAAATAACTTTATCTAAAATCAGTTACGATAAAATTTGTAATATTTCTTGATATAATTAGCATCATATCAATACGCTGAATCGTTTTACAGAGAAAGCTTGTACTAATAATTTATCTTTCAGGAGAAAAACTGCTCTGACTATTAAAATCTTGCATCTTAACCAGGTACTCGATACAATAAATATGAAACAAACAAAAGATATCGCTTAAATTATTAACAAAATATGTATAAAATTGCGAATTGGCCATAACTCGACTATAGTCAGTTCGTCTCAAGATCAAATCCTAACCCTAAACTTCTAAGGGGAAGAGACTGTTATTAATGGGGAATGCTTCGTTGCTGGCAACACACTTTATCAGGTCGATGTTCATGCGTTTATGCTTTTCGGAAACTGTCGTCGCTAACCTAAACCTCTGAATTTTCAAAATCATATTTGGATTATTGAAAAATAATTATCTCTTGCTTGCTCATGTTTCGGAGGGTATGCAAAGCCGTCCTCCGAAGGTAGCCTAGAAACTCTTGACGTTAAGGAGCAGATTGATTTATTTATAACTTGTCTAGGAGACACGTATTAAATCTTTCAGTATTAAAGTTAAAAAAAATAGGAAGGATGTAAGTAGGTTAACCGTAGGCAGACTTTGTACAAGAGTCATCTGAAAGAGTCCCACTCGTGTATCTGTCAATAAACGGCGGTAGCAAATCTGTGCATGGTAAAGATTCCGTTTGAAGGGCGCGATATAGTAATGGAACATATCGGGTCCTATATTGCGTTTGCTGTACGGGCAGGACCGTAGCCAGACCCAAGTTTATGGTAAGGTAAAAGAACTTTTTGGTAGCGCAGAAGCCATAATTAAGTGACTTCAAAAAGTGAATCTGTCTAATTTTCTTGGGGCCTTTATTTTAAGGTAGAGCATTGGGTTTTTTAAGGGAGGGCATTGCCCCTAAATGCACCCTATCCCTCTAGCTACGACCATGCATACGGAGTCGCTACTCAAGAACCTTTCTTCCCCATCAGTTGTCGGTTCTTCGAGCTATGCGACCAGCCCATTGGCACTTGAGCTTTGCTTATCCTTCGGGCTATGTTTTTACTTTAGTTCTTTAAGTAAAACACACAGAAACTTGTAGTATAGCCCTTTCTGTAACTCGCTGAGTAATTGAAGCTTCTGTATACGGGCAATCGTGTAGGACCATGTTTCGGTTTCATAAATCATTATTGGCAACACGCACTGGTTAAAAACATTCATCTTCAAAATTTTCAAATTCAATATTTCAAAGGTAACATAGGACTAATAAAATAATAATAAGTATAATAATCATCACGGACAGGACAGTTCTTGCGAACAAACCTGATATCGTGGTGATGGATCGAGCACTCTCGAGGGTGTTTTTGGTGGATGTCACCATACCGCATGACGAGAACCTATTGAGAGCCGAAACTGAAAAAAAGAGAATCATTCCAATCGTTATGTCGGTGAACGGTCTTATCCCAACCAGTCTGGAACAACATCTCAGACGGTTGGGATTCCGAGGCGGCTCACTCCCGGGAAAGATGCAGAAAGCGGTGCTCTTAGATTTTGCCCGCATTGTACACTGGTTTCTCTCCGTGGGGCCCTGAACCCCGGCTGACTATGCTTCTGCCGGGGGTTAGTTTGCCATCTCCTCTGCTTAAGAGGGGAGATGTGCATTTTCTAGAAAGTATAATAAGGCAGGGGAAAGCACTAAAGATCCTAATAGTTCGACGTACAATGATTCAGCTGACCCCTTATGCGAATATAATAAAAAAATTAAAGTATTTATTTTGTGTGGGACGCATATCACATATTTTGTAATATGTATTCTCAAGGTTGACTGGAAGAAATCCCTAAAATATCTATACTATAAGTGCAAGGGCGGATCCAGCTTTGGCGCCAGGATGAGATCACATAGTCGTCAAGTCAAGAACTTATAATTTCGATAACAATAGATACAAGTAAAAAGTAGGCATTTTATTAATGTACGTAAGTACTGTACTTAAAAATATTTATTCTTTATTGTACACTTGAAAAAATTAAGACATAATAACTTGTACATATACACATACATATCGCCATCTTCTCTTGAAGACATTCAGAGAAGAGATGCGATCGTTCCCAAACGTTTGCCATCATACAAAGTTATTATATATTAAATTAATTAAATATTGAAGGTATGTAGTTACATTAAATCTGGATGTAATCAATTATTGGTCCACCTAAGTCCTGGAACCAGCTTGGAGAGGGGGTCATGATCCGCGGTTGTATAAGTGAATATTTAAAAGCATGTGAATAAATCAATAAATGTATTGCAATTATAGATAATGCCTATTTAATCTGATCTAGGTAGGTGCCTAACTGTTACGTAGATAAATACATACGATTTAAGTACTCACCGCTTTGGCCATTGTACTCGTAGCAAAAAATATACTCGTGAAGTAAAGTGCGAACAATATATTTACTACAAATTTTGCCACGGTGGACATTGTGATAAGGTAATTTCTATATTATGATTATGGTTAGTTTCCTCATGGTTATATTTATACGTAAGTTTAAGTGACGTATTATGGGAAAGATTAGGTGAACGCCCAAGGGACATCCCCAATACCTAAACTAGGGAACACCAAAAATATTTTTATCAGAATTGTGCCTCAATTTTGCGAATTCATTTATTTATTTTTGGAGTCGATGTAGAGAAATGTTTCCGTATTAAGTTTGTGATAAGATCTTTTGTGCTTCATCTTCGTCACAGGCGGTATCTAACCATATCGGCCGATTCCTTGTATCCATTCATTCCATTTGTTGAATTGCATTCTGAGAAATTATTATTTTTAATGAATAAATAAATAATAAAATAAATAAATGCAGGCTTTACCGGTTATAATCATCATCATCATCATCATATCGGCCATTAACTGTCCACTGCTGAACATAAAAAAAAAGAAAAAAAGGAAGGAAAAAAGAAGGGGAAAAGAAAGGATGCCCTATTCTATGCCGGGATCATACGGAAAACCGGTTGTAATAACGATTTGTAAATATGTATCGCAAGATTAAAATTTGCCAGTAATGATCTATAGAACCGGAACATGGTCCGGTACACGGTTTCCGGTATGCAAAAGCTTCAGATTACTCGAGCTCGAGGCTATGCTTGAAGTTCCTTTGCGTGACAAAATCCGAAATGAGGATATCTGCAAAAGGACCAAAGTTACCGTCATAGCCCGAAGGATAAACAAGTTTTTTTTTAATAGTTGATAATGGTATGGTAACCCCGTCTGCGCGGGGGAAAGGGAGTGTTAGTAATCGGGTTTACCTGACCCAATTGCTAGCAATACACCCTATCAGGTCGACCTCCACGCGGTTCCCCCTGGACATCATCGTGGTCGATTCTTGTGGAGTTCATCACGATGGGCTAACAGACCTGCTATTATCGTCACCTATCATCCCTCATTGGTGCCCCGCCAGCGTATACCGATAGCGCGGGCAGGATAACCATTCCACTATCATTCATTGAAAAAAAAAAACGTCTGCGCTATCGGTGTACACTAGCGGGGCACCAGTGATAGATGACTGATGAGGATGAAAGCGGGTCAGTTAGCCCATCCTGACGAATTCAACTAGAATTAGTCTCGATGGTTTCCAGGGGAACCACGTGGAGGTCGACCTGATAAGGTATATTGCTAGTAATGGGGCTATTTGACCCTATTACTAACAATCCCTTTCCCCCTCAGGATAAACAAGCCGAAGTGGCAATGGGCTGGCCATATAGCTTGAAGAACCGACAACCGATGGGAAGAAAGTTTCTTGAGTGACGACCTCGTCCGGGCTAACGACGTAGAGTGACGACCACAAATGCATTGCAGAGAGTCAGTGAATGTAAGCGGCTCAGAAATGCACCTTATTCCTATCTATGGGGGAGGCCTATGTCCAGCAAGGGACAATTAAAAGCTAATATGATGAGTTGTATTAAATCTCGATAGTGTATTTCAAATATGTATTTTTTTTTTTTATTAATTCAATTCAATTCAATTTATTCTATAACAATATTACATTGTGTCGAATATGATAGGAGTTTTAGACTGTACAAGTGCAAAATCACAAACATACAACAATTTTATATTACATATAAACAATGTCATATACAAACTTTACCAGAGGGAGACTTTGTACAAAAGTCGATTGCTTGGGTACCTCTGTCCCATTCGTGTTTCAACCGTGAAGCAGTTGTGTTTGCATGACTGTGTTTCGGTTTGAAGGGTGGGATATGGCGTGAATTTACTGGGTACAGAGGAATAACATCTGAGTCCTCAGGAATGGCAACGCATGGGGGTATCATGGGCGAAACAGTATACTCTGTTATGTCCATGGCATTGCTTATGTCTATAGGCGACGGTTACCACTTTCCATCAGGTGGGCCGTCAGCTTGTTTGCCATTCTAAGTTGTATATAAAAAAAAAATGACTTAATAATAATAACAATTTGAGTCAAAAAAAAAAGAACAAGTAACTATATACAACTCAGAATTAATATATTTCTAAAATTCATTTATTGTGTAAATACATTTTTCCAGCAGAAGGGCACGGAGTTTGATTTTTAACATTCTCCAATTTTGGATAGTTTTCAGATCAATTGGTGCATGTAGATACTAATTGTACTGGGTCACGCATAACGCAGTATTTACTTACGTAGTCAAGGTTAAATCTGATTGATTTTGTAGATTGCGGACAACCCCCGGGCCCTACTGAAGTG